CTTCTGGGGGAACCCCAAGGTGTTCCCTGGCCAGGTGAGAGACATAGTCCCTCCCATGTGCCCTGGGTCTACCTTTAGGCTTCCACCCGGTTGGACATGCTCGGAAAACCTCACCAGGGAGGCATCCAGGAGGCATCCTAATCAGATGCCAGAGCCACCTCAATTGCCTCCTCTAGTAACTTAAAATTATATTTTTTGATAGTACATCTGTGCTTTTTTCCTGTCATAAAGACAATTTGTTCAAAATTACTTAGCAAAAGTGATAGAAAAATAAAGATGGCCCAGTTAAACTTTAGTAGAAATGTTAGCTGAAACTTCATTTGAAGGATGATCAAATCAGTTTCCTTGACTTTTCTAAATTTTGTTTTATTTCCTAAATAAATTACTTTCAGAAACAGATCATTTGTTGCAGGATATTTTTATGTCACTTCTTTAGCCCTCCACTTGCCCACATTACTGTTTTTGGGAATAAACATCCCAACATGCTCTCAAGGTCAGGTTTAAGGCCTGAACCGAAGTTATGTTTATGTTTAATTGCACCTGATTCCTGAACATCAGAGAGAAAGAAGTTGTGCTGATCTGCATGAGGTCACACACTGATTCAGAGTTGCAGGTGCTCTCACTTTTCTGTGAGGTGCGGGGAATGTGAAGATAGCTGTAGAAGCCTGTATACACCCTCAGCTGGCTCTCTGTCACCGTGTACTCTTTCAGGTACCCGTTGAGGGAAAAGGTTCTGGTCCAATCCAGCCAAATGACTGTCAGGTTACTGTCCACTGAGAAAGGAGTCACATACTGTGGAGCTGAGGGGAGAGACATTAAAGCTTTGAGTTAATTTTTCCTGTATCTGGTTACATGAGGGACTAGAGGGACTTGTTAAGCCCATTACCTTCGCTGAGTGTGCTAACAACAGTCCAGTTGGAGGCAGTGCTGCCCATGTTATTGAAGCAAGCAGTTCTCAGCTCATAGACGGTGTACGGTAGGAGACCTGCAGAGTTCAGGAGCATTTTGACGTAAACCTATTTTTCTATCCCAACAAAGGCTTGCAGAATTCTGCATATTGACACATTTTTAACAATATTTCTGAAGCGTTTTAAAATTCTGAGTAAATTAACTTTAAGTATTGGACACAGCGTGCACTTTAACAGATGTGCGCTGAACCTGTAACATTGTGGCTCCACTGTTTTCCAAAAAAACAGATTTCCATTGGCCCTTCTGTGCAGGGGAGCGGTGTGGGCTGGGGGAGCTGGGGGCACGGAGACCGGAGATGAAGCTCACAGCTGGAGAAAGAGACAAAAGGAGATTATATGTGTGTGTGTTTGGTGTAGTGTGTTCCTTCGGAAGACTTCCTCACCTTTCAATGACTCCATTAGGAGCTAAAGGCTCATCCCATTCCATCTGAATGGAACGGGATGTTAGCGTGACAAGACGAGGAGGGGGTTGGTTGGCTGGGGCGGCAGCCAGGGTGTTGAGCTCTCTCAGTGGACCCCGGCTACAGCACTGGTGAATGTTCCAAACAGAGATGTTAAAGGCTCTTTAGCCTCAATGTCAATTTGCAAATTGAAATCAAATCTTTTAAAGACAGGTTTAATTTCTTACCTGGTAACAAGTGCAAGCCTCAATGCCCACCCAGTACTGAGTGAAAGGACGTAAATCATGAAGCGTCTGCTGAAGGGAGGTTCCCTCTGAGAGCTAGTCACAAAACAAGCAGGGGAAGAGAGAGGTGATTCGAGGTTAGTGATTGAAGCGCCTCGTGATTTTTATCTCGAAAGGCACTATATGAAACATTGTTTTCTTTCTTTCTTTCTTTATGTTTCTGGACTGACAAATAAGTAATGATCATGTGGCGATAGACAAAGCACGTACTGCAGGTAATCAGCGGTGATGACATAACAAATACAATGGATAATTTGAGTGCTGTTTCTTGTGCAATAAGGAAATCTTGACTAACAAACTCGAATGGATCATTTTTTTAGCTATTGCCATCTAATTTTATTTTCATCCACATCCTTATCATTGCATCACAGCATCACTTCACCTCCCATCCACACAATGCTGGCAAACTCCCCCCTCCCATCTGCAACATCTGGCCAAGCAGAAATGTAATGGTATAAACACGATCAAGTAGCACGAGTGACTAAAGTGCAGAAGAGGATTAGGGCCACTGAAACGAAAAAAGTAAAGAAAGAGAAATTCTGACTTATTTTCTCCGAATTTGGACTTTAATAACCCCGAGAAAAAACTACGGGACATAAAATAATAGCTTGACAAAAACCTTGTTTCTGAAAAACAACGGAGCTAGAAAGGGAAATCTTGACTTGAACAAACGTGTTTTTACAAGTATGCGGTTTTATTTTACACACAAACTGAATGAGCGATTTTACTTTAAACTGACTGGTACCTGCAGTGTTTGAGTCAAACAGTGGTCAACATTTCTAACAGGAATTATTTCACCAAATTCCAGCTGTAGCCTGTAATCAGATTTCACCAACAAACTAGGAAATGCATTTAATAGCTAGCACAAGCAAACTGTTGGCAACTACACAACACAACATGTTTAGATTTGTGTTATTTGTGGCAAAAACACATAAACGTTGCATTTCTTTACCCAAGAAAATATACGCTACAGCAGGGTTCTGCAACCCTGGTCCTCAAGATCACCTATCCTGCATGTTTTAGTTGTTTCCCTGCTCCAACGGACCTAATTCAATGATTGAATCACCTGCTCAGCAGGTCATAAAGCTCTGCAGTAGCCTGATAATAACCCACTGATTCAGTTCTGGTGTGCTAGAGAGAAGAAACAACTAAAACATGCTAATGGGAATCTCGAGAACCAGCGTTAGAGAGCTCCGTTTTAAAGTATTCTGAGGTTTTTTAATGAAGGAAGCAGAAGCGCTGCATTGCTGTTAGCCAATCAGAGGCCAGACATTTACATACCATAATGAAAATATATAAATCAGGGGTGCAAGAGTGTGACTCTCAAAGCTCTCACTCATAATAGACCACAGCAGATTTACTGAACAACAATTAGGCCCATGGCCTTTTTTGTGAAATCTGCTTAAAAATGATATGCCCACACTTGACTGGAACCAGTTTCCTTGAGAGGGGATGGACACTATCACTCTGGAGTTGCTCCCACTGAGAGGCGCCAAGCAGGGGTGGACATACTAGTTGCCCCCCATCTTGGTGCCTGTATGTTGGGGCTTACCCCAGTGAATGACAGGGTAGCCTCCCTCCGCCTACATGTGGGGGGACGGGTTCTGACTGTGGTCTGTGCTTATGCACCAAACTACAGTTCAGACTACCCACCCTTTTTGGAGACCTTGGAGGGGATGCTGGAAAGCGCTCCTTCTGGTGACTCCCTCGTTCTGCTGGGGGACGTTAACGCTCACGTGGGCAATGACAGTGAGAACTGAAGAGGTGTGGTTGGGAGGAACGGCCCCCCTGATCTGAATTCGAGTGGTGTTTTGTTATTGGACTTCTGTGCCAGTCATGGACTGTCCATCATGAACACCATGTTCAGACATAAAGGTGTCCATATGTGCTCTTGGCGCCAGCATACCTTAGGGGCTCTGCACACGGGCGGCAACAAACAACCGCGATCAGCTAAATTTGTCGCTGTCACTTTTATTACCTGTCACACGGGAGGCGACCCGTGGCAGCGGCCAGCAGCAAAGCCGTCTACGCGTTCTGTTCCATGGCAAAATCGAAACTTCCGTTGTTTTGCTTGGCTGTGTCAGGTTGGAGGGAAATAAGGTTATTTAAGTGGTTCAGAGTTAATAAAGCGGTAGATATGATGTTTCACAAGGTGCTGCTAGAGTTATGTGAAATCTTACTTCTGATTTTACTATAAAACATAATAATAATCAACTTCTACTCCATGTTTACTTGGAGATGTACGGAGCATCCTGTCCGCTCATTGGTCAGTGAATGAAACCTCCGCTGATTGGTTCTCGTCCGAGCGACAGCGATGAAAAGTTGAAAATGTTTCAACTTTCTGGGATCGCGTCGCTGGGTCGCCTGTGCACGACACGTGCACGAGCGCAAAATTTCCCACGCACCCTCCAAGGTCCCCCTAAGGGTATGGAGCTGGTCCGGTGTTCCACGGCCAGGATGAAAACCACATTGCTCCTCCTGAATCTGAGGTTCAACAATCCGACGGACCCTCCTCTCCTGAACCCCTGAATAGACCTTACCAGGAAGGCTCAGGAGTGTGATCCGCCTGTAGTTGGAACACACCCTGCAGTCCCCCTTTTTAAATAAGGGGACCACCACCCCGGTCTGCCAGTCCAGTGGGACTGCCCCCGATGTCCACGCGATATTGCAGAGCCGCGTCAGCCAACACAGCCCCACAACATCTAGAGCCTTAAGGAACTCCGGGCGGATCTTGTCCACCCCTGGAGCCTTGCCACAGAGGAGCTTTTTAACCACCTCAGTGACCTCAGCACCAGAGATTTGAGAGGCCAACCCAAAGTCCCCAGACTCTGCTTCCTCACTGGAAGACGTGTCGGTGGGATTGAGGAGGTCTTCGAAGTATTCTGTCCACCGATCCACAAAGTCCTGAGTAGAGGTCAGCAGCACACCGTCCCCACTATAGATAGTGTTGGTAGCGCAATGTGTTCCCCCCTGAGGAACCGGAAATGTATTCCAATTAAATTTTTAGCCTAAATATTCATATATTTCCTAGATCAATAGCATCCACATAACAGACTTTTGAATCCAAGTGGAACAGATTTATTGATAATTAATTGTAAATATATACAAAAATTAAATAAATAAATAAACTGTAAAAAAAACTATGCTTTCATGTTGTCACATAGAGGTCTCCGGAGTTCTACAACAACAACTCTCCTTCCATGGTGCATCTACTCTTTTCCAACCTTTTAGACATCTTTGTGAACAATGTAAAGTCATTCTGAAACAAATAGAGATGTTTAGAACTTCTGCTGCGTGTCAGTGGCAACACAACAATAATTATCACATATGGAGATTAAATATTGGTTGTTAAGTTTTTATTGAGTTTCAGTGTGTTTGCATTACCAGAGTCAGGGTGGTGGTGTTGTGGTCCAGAGAGAAAACCCTGTAAAGACCAACAATCCCATTGGGCTGGGCTGGAGGACGGATCTCCACTACAGCTGAGGTTGCAGAAACATGCAGAAAAATAGGCGGGTCAACTCCTTCAGGCGGGGCAGGTCCGGTTCTTCCACTGACCCATGGACTGGCAGCATAACCAGCAGAATTCACCGCCCACACCTGTTGGGTCACAAATCACACACCGTCAGCTAATAATGTCATCACATTTCACTTCAGTACGAAGCAGATAATAAACATGTGACCCAAGCTGTGATACAAACTTATTTTTTTCTTTCATTGTAAATGCATTTGATGAACTCTTACTGATGAGGGCTTCTCTTAATTAACCGATATCCACAAGACCAACGGATGAGCGAGAGTCAATTCATTGGACCATCCATCAAAACTACCATCAGCAACCTTTTCACCATGCAGCCCAATACCAACATATCTGCATGACAATTACTTTTCACCTTCATCAAGGAGTTATTTTCTCTCTCTCTCTCTCTCTCTCTCTCTCTCTCTCTCTCTCTCTCTCTCTCTCTCTCTCTCTCTCTCTCTCTCTCTCTCTCTCTCTCTCTCTCTCTCTCTCTCTCTCTCTCTCTCTCTCTCTCTCTCTCTCTCTCTCTCTCTCTCTCTCTCTCTCTCTCTCTCTCACACACACACACACACACACACACACACACGGTAATCTTATTTGTGTGCTTGGGTTGGGTATAATTAGAAGGTGTACACAGCACAGGGTCAGTCGGGGTGAAGATTTGCATGTGTAAGTCATCTGTAGCCTGTCAGAAGCAGTGCAGAAGTCAGATGGATGGGTTTGAGCTTTAGCGTTCGAAGTGTGTATCTGCGTGCACAGCTTGTTGTTTGCGTCGGCCACTGCGAGTTTTAGGTGTGCACGAGTGAGTGTGCGTGTGTGTTAAGAGTTGAATTAACCTCAATAATAGTCAATTAGGCCGTAATCAATCAGACTGATTGATCTAAGTGACAGCACAGATGGACTGAGATGGGAGAGGGGAAAGAAGAAGAGAAGACGGAGAGGCGATGGATTGGGGGAAGGAAAGAGGGACGAGGGGGTCGGTGAGATGCAAGGAGACAGCAGCAGAGGGACCAGAAGGAGTTTTATTTTGGTGTTTTGTGGAAAGGTTCCACCTGGTCTTTAGGTACTCATCATTTTACTGAAAACAAACAAAAAAAAAAGCTTCTGTTTCAAACGTAAAGGTAACTTTTAGTCAGCTGTGTTTGCAGACACTAAACCAAACTGAAGCAGAGGAGGACCAAATCACTGGTTTTATGTGACCAAATATTATCCCTTATTCACCTGGGATGATTCTTTATTCTGACATCAACTCATGGGCCACATTTAAGCGGATTTCAGTGGTGTTTCTGCCTAAAATCTGTGTAAAAAGACAAATCGGTATGGAAGCAGCGCTCCAGCAGACCTTCTAGAGGTAGACTGGCAGATTTAGGCCATGCTTATATTATTTGATGGTTCTAATTTAGCAATTTGACAGTCTATCATGCTAACTTACTTGAGAAGGTCTAACTGGTTTTAAAAGTACAAAGAAATAATTTTAACTTTTTCACAAAAAACTATAATCAATTCTAACAGAATATTAACAAACATATTAATAAAAAATGTACTGTTACAGATGTTCTTATCTTTCTTACATTTTTACTCCAAATGAATTTGGACAACACGTTTTTTATTTTTATTAATGCAAACATTTTTAAGCTCAAACACCAAAACAAGAATGACTTCATCTCCATACTTTATCAGGCTTTAGTCATTATTTCTTTGTGGAAAAACATTCGTTTATGCTGAGGTAAAAACCCTCACCGTAGAATTAGATGTAAAGTGTTTGATCCTCAAGAGACTTTATGTTTATTTCACTGTTCAAGAACAATGTTTGTTAGTTTTCACACTTGCTCACATGCATGGTCTGATTTCTAGCCTTCATCTGACTCCAATAAAAAAATAAACGTTACCAGACCTGGAAACGTTTTAAAATAGCTTTTGATTTGAACAAACATCCTCTCCTCCTTAGATTTCTACCGTGAGCTCTCAAACCTTTTTTCAAGATCATGTAATAAAAGCTTTTTTGTTACATCAAAGAAAAACTTCAAACCTGGACATGAGATTGATTATGTTAATATGTAGTTTCTCCCAAAACAAAACAAACAAATCCTTAAATTAAAGTCAAACAGCAATACTCCATTTATTTTGTGGCTGTTTATCTCCAGGCTATTGTGTTGATGTTTAGATGAAATAACAAAAGTTAAAATCACATTCATGTATTTACAGATGTGAAGTTCAAGGAATAAAAATGAAAAAATAAAGAAAATATATTACTGTCAAAAATACAGTTGGTGTGCTTGTGCTTTGGGAAATTAAGGAAATTAAAGGAAACTTGGGCCGAGGCTTCAAATTAATTTAGAATTTTAAAATGACAACAAGGCCAAGGCATAAGAAAGAAAACAATACAGAGTTAATTCTACTCTGAGTTTTCCAAGTTTGAGTTACTGTTTCCAGGAAGATGCTGATTTTACTGTCTTCAGTTTCTGTTCTGTTGCTTAAAACTTTTTTTTGTTTATTCCTCTCCAATCAGAAAATTTAACGGTTAAGCATCTCTACCCAGCAACAACCATGTTCTTCCCCACCATAGCAATAAGGTTACCACCCCAACATGACGTAAGACTGAGTGAGATTAAAAAGTTTTTGCCACATAGTCAGAAAAGAAAATAAACGTTCAAATTTAGCGTCGGCACGGATCACCTTGCCCTTGATCCAGAGCTAAAAGGTAGAACTCGTGCCTTTGCCGTATATCATCTACAAACTTTATGTGGCCTCCTCTCCACTCTCATCTTCCTGCTTCTTATTGGGCCGTGATTTGGCTTGTTAGACACAAAATAAAAATATATCCCGTTAGTCGCCGTGGCAGCAGAAGAGCCGCCATGGCAACAAACAACTTCAGCGTACGTCCAGACAGTATTCCAGCCTTTTTATTGGATGGCGGGGCTGCGGACTGGATTTTAGAGCTCTGATAGGCTGACACGATAACTTGGCGGGAGCATCTACTGGGGGTGAAGGGGCTAAGTTGTGTGAAAGTGGGCAGTAATTAAAAGCACGCATAAAGCTGTCAATAGGAGCTTATGACCCAGTGTAATTAGCCTAATATGATTTCTCTCTATGAGCTGTGGTGCACTAAACTGATACGGACTCGTCCTTGTGTGCGCTTGAAACACGTAGCGAGAAAAGTGTGACGTTTGACAGTTAAACAAGAAGAAAAGGTACGTTAGAAGGTAAGTGAACAGTTTGATGAGTCTGTGTGTATACAGACTGCTCAAACCACACTCTGGGACTGAAAACTGCTATGAAGGGGTTTCAAAACAACTTTCAGGTGAAAAATTCATTCATCACAACCACTTCCTGCACAATGAAACCACTCATGTTTACAAGCACTCCCAAACAAACCAAGTACTGCCGTGTACCTGCGTCCAGACACACACAAACACATGCACACATAAAACAACAACTTGTCCACATACTCCAATCCCACACTGGTAAGTCCTCCAGGGACGTGTAGCGGTCACCATTAAAAGGTCTTTCCAATACAAGCTCTGTTACCAAGCAGGCTAACAGTTAATTCGATTGGCTGGCTGGTAATCAGGAAGTGGGGTGCTCAGAGGGCCCAGTGATTAATAGCCCTGTTGCCCGCTCGTCATCTCCCAAAGCTCCTCCTTCCCTCCCTCCTCATGTCATAAATTAGAACTCGTAAATAAAGACAGCACCACAATCAGGCAAACTCAATCAATTATCTCCGTTCTCCGGCCTCGGCTCGTACATCTGACAGACAGGAATGCTAATGTTATTGTTGCTTCCAAAGGGCTAACCTGTCAATTAGTGTACCAGTGCACAAACACAACAGCATAAATATGGACTGCTCCATTTAACACATGTCTGATTACTTGTGTGTGTGTGTTTCAGAGTCTGCGGTGGTCGGTGTATTTGCACGCTGCATTAGTTGATGCTTGATTGTGGTCTGTGTGTGTTAAAATTGGCTTTTACATCTATAAAACTACACCCTGATGGATCAAAAACATTCATTTTGTCCGCAAAAGGAACTCAGAGTGACACATTTTGACCCTAAACGTTTAAATCTGAATAAACAGCATTTTTGGGGTATTTCTGATGTGAAACAGTTTGTATGATTTTCTCACTCACATCAATAGGTCTTGTAAAACATATAAAGTTTATAAGAATAAACTCTCAAGAACCCTTCACTTTTTAGTGTCCGTATTGTAAATATTTGGTTTTTATTTACTTAAAAAATGTAAGTAATACTAAATAATTCTATACCTGGTATTGGTACAAAGTGTAGGGCTGCAGTCCTCTGTCCTTATAAGACATGGAGACATTTCTGAAGACAACTGTTGCTGCATCATCAGTATTGTTGGCATCAGCTGAGGCGTGTGGCCTCCGGTGCACCTCGTAATGCAGGACTCTGCCATTTGGCTGAAGAGGAGGGAACCAGGTGAGGACAAAGCTTGTCTGGAGGCTGGTGTGCGGGTCAGGTTGGAGTTCTAGAAGTGGTGCCAGCTGTCCAGCAGGGGGAGCCTCCAGCGTGAGCACCGAGGTCCAGTCACTGGAGGAGCAGCCCAGTGATGTACAAGCCTCCACTCTCACTTCATACCTACAGACACATTGTAGATATAAATGAGTAAATGTGGCTAAAAACTGACTAAACAATTAACACTTCTGATGTATAAAATAAAAACCCGTAACCACGGTAACCCAACTTCAGTGAAAACATCATTGTGTTGTGAGTTTTTGTTTATAAAACATTTTCTGTTACCAAAAGGCAGCACTCTCCCACTTCTTTGTTTCTTCTTTATTCCGCCTCATATTTTACATTATACGTCTCAGTAATTTAAAGCAGAGTCGTTAAAATATTGTTGATTTGTGTTCATTCCTTAAGAAAAAACAAAGATTTGAGTCTGTTTTACTTGATGTCTTAACAAGAAATGATCCTCTAAAGGAAATTAAACCACAGATGAGTCAGCCACAACATTAAAACCACTGGAACTGTGACACTGCTCATCTTGTAATGCAACAATATGCTGCAACTAAAGCATTCGCATAGACATGTTGACACACCTGCCCCCTACCTGAACATTTTTACAGACTAATAACCCCTCCTTCCCATAAGATGAGGTTAAACAGCTGCTGTAAATTGTGTCACATGAAAAAATAAAAGTAAACCAGACTATTTATGAGACATTCGGATCCATAAAATTGCCTCTTCTTCAGGCGAGAGAAAGAAAACCTGTCCTGTTTAAATTGTAAACATATAAATGCTGTTTTCTTGCTGTTACAGTGTGATGTCATTGCACTAAGGTCAGTTTTAGTAGATACTGGTTAGGCTCATGGTTCCATAAGACAGAGGAGCTAATATAATAGCTATGAGAAGCACCAGTTACAAAGTATTTCTGTCGTCTTAAAGTAAATCTAATCTCATTTCATAGCAATTTGTCCAAATATTTATTTCTATTTAATTCTGTTTCTTCTGACTCCGAGTAAGTGAAAATTTTGGAGGAATCAAAACAATTCAACAGGTCTCAGATGGATAAAAACAAAAAACAATAAAAAGAAACAAGAATTTAAAAATTAGAATAATATGGCAACTAATTACTACAAAATGAGTGCAGTATGTGGCAGCGTCATGACACCTGCAGCAGCTTTTTGGTGGTGAAGTTCAGCAGCTTGACTGCATCCAGGTGAAAATTGTTTCTCCGTGTGGATATTTTTGTTCTTTCTGGATGCAGTCCAAATGGGTGCTCAATCCTGGTTCTGGAGGGCCACTGTACAGCATGTTTTAGTTGTTTCCCCGCTCCAACACACTTGATTCAATGGTTGAATTTCCATCAAGCTCTACAGAGGCCTATTAACGACCTGCTGACTGAAACAGGTGTGTTTGAGAGAAGAAACAACTAAAATGTGTTAGATAGCACACCTCCAGGACCAAAACTGGCTACGCCAGCAGTGCCACCTTCAACTAGAGTGGAAAGGGGTCAACAGCTCGTGCGCAATGTGGGTGGGGCCATGCAGGCTACAGATAGCTCTCTCTGTGTGTGTATTGGTTATTTCCTTTCCATTGCAAACCTCTTCAAAACAATTTAATGGCTACCTTAAAGTCAATGTTTTAGCTGCTTCACATCAAAGATCTAAAGGCAACACAAGGTGATCCTTCTGAAAGTTGGGAGTAGACTACATCATGTGACTCCAGTATATGGCCATGAATGAGGCGGAGGGACTGAAGGTATAGAACATGAACAGATGGATGGTGTGACTAACCGGTGGTAGGGAGCCAGCCCATGCAGAATGGTTTGTCTCTCAGAGAAGATACGGTCATTTGGACTTATTGCGGTGCTGAGGACGTGAAGTTGGACTGGATCTCTTAGATGCACGTTGTACCCAACAAGGTCTCCATTAGGACGGGCTGGTATCTGCCACTCTACTCTCACCTTGTCAGATAAAGACAATAATAGCATTAAGACAAAGTTTTCTAAAATCCAGCTGTTCTAAAAGACTTCATAAACAAACGATGAACCTGGTTTGCCTTCAGGGGCGTGACTATTGGGAGACCCACACCAGATGGGGCTGATGGGTGAGTCTTTGCTGTAGCTACCTCGCTGCTCACAGCGCCTCTGCTGTTGTTGGCAATGACAACGTAGCTGTATTCCATGCTTGGCACGAGGGTGAAGTCGTGGTAATGGGTCTCTGAACCAACATAAATGACTTCACCATCTCTACGGAGCTCATACCCAGTGATGATGCCATTAGGGAACTCTGGTGGTCTCCAGGTAATCTCCACTGACTCTGGGCCAGTAACCTTTAAATGATGAAATCAGGTGAGTTAACATTTTATGACTATTTTAAAATCTGTATGTGAAAAGAAAGTTTTGGACAAAGAATTCAAAATAAAAGTAAAAATTTATACTGTAATTTAAAAGAAACAGGGAATGATGAAAAACGCTCAAGTTGAATAAAATTTCATTCACAACTGATTTTTACTTAATATTTTGAAATCCACGTCTGAGATGATGATAACACCTTAATAGCTGGGGGGTCCAGATTGGTCGGAGGAGCCTCCTCCGTATCTGCAGTTGTTGAGACACTGGAGGTGCAGCCTCCCCGAGTACAGGCCAGCAGAACCAGCTGATATGACGTATGAGGCTGCAGGCCAGACAGCACCGTGCTGAGGTCTTTCCCACGATAAACCTCCTGGTTATTGAGTTTCAGGGCATAATCTGTCACCTCTCCATTCTGTGTCAGAGGTTTGCTCCAGGAAATATTTAGGCTGCTGGATGTTACGGCGCCCACCGTGGGGGCCGCCACTGTCGCAGGTGGGGCCTCGAGTGTTGTGATGTGTGTCTGAGGACTGGTGATGCATCCCTCAGAAGTGCAGGAGATTATTGAGTAACTGTAAGGAGAAAGCAAGTAGAACAAAAATCAGTCTTTTTACTGTTCAGTTTTAAATGCTAGAAAAATAAAACAACTCAAATAAAAAGGAAACACCTGTATGTTGAAAAAGGCTGCAGGTCTTCATCTGTGTAGTTGAGGACAGTTGGGTCAAAACTGAATGAAAAAATGACTTTGTTTCTCTGGATTCTGTAGGACCGTAGAACCCCGTTGGGTTCTAAGGGAGGGGCCCAGGACACTACCACCTCACTGGGTCGGCCTTGGATATGACTCACTGTAGGAGAGGCTAGGCCACGAGGAGGGGCTTGCTTGGTTGTTATGGTTACCCAGGAGCTGCAGGTTTTTCCAGCTGTGTTGTGAGTACAGACGCTGAAGTCGTACTGGGTCCAGGGACGCAACCCAACCACAGTATGGGACAAGGGTCCAGCTTGTTGTGGGGACGTTTCTCTGAAGAGAACCTGTTATGTGAATACAGGTGAAACTCGAACAATTAGCAAATTGTGCCAAAGTTAATTTATTTAAGTGATTCAACATAAAAGGTGAATCTAATATATGAGCAGTGTTGGGAATAACAACATTTAAGTATAACGGCGTTACTAACGACATTCCTTTTTAGGTAACAGAGTAATCTAATTAATTACTTTTCCCATTTTTGCAATGCCGTTACTGGGCATGTAAAGTGGCGCGTTACTATAATGTGCACACACACACACACACAAACACAGTATTCCTCCGATCGCTGTGAAATTCAATTCAATTCAAATTTATTTATACAGCGCCAAATCATGACAAGAGTCGTCTCAAGGCACTTCACATAATAAACATTCCATTACAGGTCAGTTCATTAATCCAATCAGAAAAAAGTTTCCGGTAACACTTTCCAATAGGGGTCCCTTTATTAACATTACCTAGTGCATTATTAAGCATTAATAAACCATTAAATAAAGTGTTAATAACTGCTTTTATGCATTACATAGCATTACTATACATATTATTTAATGCATTATTAAGCAGTTACCTAAAGTCTATTACCGAACCTAAGGGTCCAAAATTCATTCAATAATGATTAATTACGGTAAAGTAAGGCATCTATTAAGCATTTAGAAAGTGTTTATAAATGGATAAATGTTGACACTTTACAATAAGGGTCAAAAATTCATTTGGTAATGTTTAACTACGGTTAGGTAGTGCTTAAGTAATGCTTATGAGTCTATTAGGCATTTAGAAAGTGTTTCCTAAGAGATACATGTTTAAGCTTTACAATAAAGGTCCAAAATTCATTCAGTAATCATTAATTATGGTTAAGTAATGCTTAAGTAATGCTTAGGCATCTATTAAGCATTTAAAAAGTGTTTCCAAATGGGATCAATGTTTTTACCTTACCTAAGGTCAGGTAAGGGCTTCCTGATGACAAACACAGTACAGCAGTAGTAAGACATTAATTAATTGTTTAGTAATGGCCATCCAAGTAACATCCAAAGTGCAGAGTAGAATAAGTGGATGCATTAGTTGGCTGTTACTTATTGCTTATTCACTGCAAATACACAATCATAATAAATGATAACTTTAATAATTATTAAGGGTTAATTAACACATTAACTGACACGGTAATTAACACACATGATGCAACGTAATTAAATAATGCAAGTGTTATTTAAAGCTTAGTACTGCATTAACTAAGATTCAGTAATAGACTTTAGGTAACTGCTTGATAATGCATTAAATAACATGTTTAGTAATGCTATGTAATGCATAATAGCAGTTGTTAACACTTTATTTGATGGTTTAGTAATGCTTAATAATGCACTAAGTAATGTTAATAAAGGCACCCTTATTGTAAAGTGTTACCAAGTTTGCAATATAAGAAACCCAGCAAATTGCATCAAGTCACTGACTGGTGTCAGTGACTTTACAGCAATCCTTATACTAAGCAAGCATTCAGCGACAGTGGAGAGGAAAACTCCCTTTTAACAGGAAGAAACCTCCAGAGGATCCTGGCTCAGTATAAGCAGCCATCCCCCACGGCTCACTGGGGATCGAGAAGACACACGCACGCGCACGCACGCACGCACGCACACACGCACACACACACGCACACACACACACACACACACACACACACACACACACACACACACACACACACACACACACACACACACACACACACACAACATATATATCAAGTAATGTTTCTACGGTTACATCTTAGTAAATATTCTATTTGGTGGGAGATAAACTTTATTGTATTTATCCTAGTGAATCTATAATTAAATGGGTAAACTAGTAGTAGCACATTCAATGTCAAAGAAGGTAAAATGTTATCAGGAGAGGGAGAATGTTTAAGTGGTTAGCAACAGTGTTCAAGCCGACGGCCCCCTCCATGAGGGCACCACAGCTCATCAGAACATCATTGTAGCTTCTTCTGGGGAGAAAAAAAACTTGTGAAAGCAGGGAAGGAGGTGGCATGCTCTAAATGCCTGGGACAATTATTACATTAACGCGATGGACCTGTAAGTATTGATGGGGACAAATCTGTAAAAGAGGAGGAAAGAAAAACTAAACAGTGCATCAGAAAGTGAGAATACGAGTGAAAACACTATGGCAAGCTGTTTTGTCATCTAAACAACAATCAGACCTCACAGTAATTCCTATTTTATATAAAAATTAACTTTATTCTAGTACTAATCGTGTTTTTAATAATCAAAACTGCAAATGAGGACATCAACAGCTATGTTGTAGAAACTAAGGATTTCCATAATAATAACTGCACGAGAAGGAATTAATTTAGAGATAATTCAGAATCCCTAAACTCCAAAGGTGGCTTTTTAAAAAACATTTATTAGGCAGACTGGATATATATTCCAGGTATCTATAGTTTTATTGTTCTTAGTAGAAATTAACATTGAAGTTAAGAACAATCTTGCTGAATGAACTAATTAGTAAGAATTGGTAAGTATCATTCAGTTGGAATATCTTCCACTTTAGAGATTATAGAACGTAACTGCATTATAGAACATAAAAGTAACATTACAATTACTTTTCTATGGCAACTAATTACTTTCACAATGTGGTAACTTAGTTACTAACTCACATACTTTTGGCAAAAAGTAATTTGTAACTATAACTAATTACTCATTTAACGTAAGATGCCTAACACTGTATATGATTCAGACTCATTACAAGGAAAGTCAGATTTTTCAAGGTGTTATTTGTTATAGCTGTGGTGGCTATAGTTTACAGTTCATGAAAACCCCTAATTTTTAATCTCAATTAGAATATCATGAAAAGTTAGACTCAAAGTGTCACACTAATCAGCTAATGAATGCAAAACACCCGCAAAGTGTTCCGGAGCCTTTAAATGGTCTCTCAGTCTAAGCTGAATTACTGAAATACGTGGACTTTTGCACCATATTTGCTTGTAAATAATGTAGAAATAATGCAATAATTATTTTTATTTAAAAATTAAAATGTAAAAACTGATGTGTAAAATATACAAATCAATTAGGGCTTTTAGTTTTTCTTTCTTAGGAAATAAAACTTTAAAAAAGTTATAAAAGTCAACTTACCTTCCCCATTTCAATGTCCTCATCACTACTCCGTAGCCTCCCCTTCTCCTCCAGACTCCTCCCAAGCAAGGAATACTCTCCAATTGGTCCATTTGGTTGAGATGGGGGGTCCCATGTAAGTGAGACATGGTCCGGGCCGATGGAGAGAGGCCTGGGGGGAAGTTGAGAAGCAGGCAGTGCTGCTGCTGTGGTGATGTGGTGAGGACGGCTGTGTGTGCAGCCTGCCGAGGTACACGCCTCAAGAGTCAGAGAGTAAACGGTCCATGGCTCCAAACGACGGAAGAGGAAACTGCGTGATAGTCCACTGAACTCCAGGTTTCCTTCACTGTACAAGTTATACATCTGTAAGGTTGAAAGGGCAAAGGAGAGATTAATAAAGACAAATAAGGACTATCTAACATACATATATAAAAGGATGTGTGTTTGCTTATTGGTCTGCAGCTGTGTGTGGAGTGTTGATCAGAATGTATTTGAAGTACATGTCCAAATTAATTTCTTTAGCGAACTAGAAAGGTGAATGATTATACATCTGTTAATGATTGCATGAGCCTGGTTTGTACCGTGATGACTCCGTTTGGAGAACGTGGCTCATCCCAGCTGAGCAGCAACGCTCTGCCCTGCTCTCTGTGCTCCACCGTGAAGTTAGCCAGGCCAGCTGGAGAAGCCTCCAGAGTTCTGATGTCCACCCACGGACTGGAAACACTGCCTGAAATATGAAAAAATATTTAGACTGAGTCAATGAAATTTCTATAGTTAAAAATAGTAATTGCCCCCCCCCACACACACACACACACATATTCTGGTGGTGATGAGCTACACAGTAGCCACAGCTGTCCTGACAGAGGCAAAGCTCCTGAACACTGGCGTCACCGACCCTTCCAAAACCAACTGACTGAACAGGGCTCAATCCTGCCACCTTCCAGTTATGAGGCAGGCACTTAACTCTTTTCTTTGTTTTTTACCGTTTTTCGACCCACCTGCCTCGTTTACAGCTTCCACACGAAGGCTGTACAGGTTGAAAGGTTCCAGGCCGTAGAGTGTTGCCTCCAGAACTGAACCCTGAGAGACAGAATCAGCAACATATGGATGAAAAGAGGGAGTCGGGGAGAAGGAGATGATTGAACTGTAGTAAAATGCAGCAAAGAAAGGCTGATAATAATTTGGGTTAAATGCCAAAGCCGAAGAGAGCAAACGTGAATTAGTTACACAAATAAATCCAGTGTGAATTAAACCAGGGCATCATTTATTAAAAAAGGGGAAATAAAAAGGAACAATGGTTACTAAGATGACATGACAAGGGATTTGTGATATCAGCGTTTCAACACACAGGCTCTGCCATGGTGAAGTACGCAGACACCGGGCAAAGGGCTGTCCCTTCTGGGGGATTTCAAAGCTTCCAGATTCAGTGTTTGTCGCACATGCAGCCTTATTATCTCAAACACACACATACACACACGCACGCACACGCGGGCGCACACACACACACACACACGCACACACACACACACACACACACACAGTAACCGGGCACGTGCCAGTGGCTTTAGGCAATGGGACCCAACCCAAGACCCCGGCAGACACAGGGACAGAGTGTGTGTGTGTGTGTGTGTGTGTGTGTGGGGGGGGGGGGGGGGGGGGGGGGGGTGTAACAGTGAAAACACCATTTACTAATTGCTAAGAGTCAGACTGTTGTTAAAAAAGGCCCTGGTGTGAGATGACAAGCAGGACTGGGAGCACTGGGTTCCTGGATGTAGCGTCTTTACCTGCCTGCCTGTTTTTGTTGAAGAAGTCAATTGTAAATTTCTTTCAAGTGTCAAGTGTGCAGATCAAATGTAGTCTGTTCAGGATGGTATGCTCTCACATAATCAAGCATATGTAAAGAGATTAACTGGTAACCCACTTCTGCGCGACGACAGAAGGATCAAAAAGGCTTCAACTCAAACAAAAAAAAAAAACCTTGACAAATCACTGTAGCGTGGCACCACGGATGAACTGCCTGAACAACAATCAGAAAGCATGTTCTTACTGTATTCATGTCTGGAAGCCAGCATATTTCCCATCCACAGTAAAACAGGATTAATAAGCCCCTCGACACCTAGACACAAGCTAAGTCCTCCACTTTTCACTAGACAGAGGGAGGGGCGCAACGAGAGAGGGAGGGGAACGATAGAGAAAGAGGGGTGAAGGAAGCACAAAAAAGGGAACAGAGGAGAAGATGGATAAGAAAAAGTAAGATGTGAGTTAGTTAATAACTGATGAAGCAAGTAAAAGAGAACAAGGAGGGGAGAGTGAAAGAGATTAAGTAAAGAAAGAGTGGAAGAAGCTGTGGAGAGAAAAAGATAGATGTGGCAAAAGGGAGAGACAGATTAAGTGAGCCAGAATGAGAGATCTCTCTACCTTAAAAGCCAGTGAAATATGTGAGGCATGTGGCCTATAAAGCTGTTAACATATGCACATTGTCAATAGCAGCATCTGGTGCTGGCAGATTTTATAGGAGCGTGGAGACTCAGCTACATGCCTCTAGATGGCAATACATTCAAACACTTCCTCACTGAAACACACCGCAATAACAGCCTGCTGCCCCCACGACACACACACACACACACACACACACGCACGCACGCACGCACGCACACACACACACACAAAACAATCAAGGACTATGAAATTCACACAAGCAGGCACAAAGACAAGCTGTAATCAAACGATCCTATGCTGAAACACACGACTATTACATTAACAGCTCCCACATTAACTACTCATCTTGCATTTTCTCATGTAACCAAAACAAATATATTTATAGAAGCAGAAAAAACTGAGAAAGATAAGCCATTTTTAAAGAGCAAGTCAACCCCTACCAGAGTCTAACTCCACTCCCACTTCATGTTTGAAAAATGCAACACATGCTGTTGCCTGGCAGACCGAGAGGGCGGAGCCGCTAACAAATACACACACACACTCAGGCTCACGACAGCATTGTGACATCATAATGTACCAGTTTACATCATAGCATACTTCTTAGCCAATAGCGGTGGCAGATTTAAATTAAAATACAGTGCAGACTTTTTACCTGACAACGGCACAACACTGCCAGTTTTAGGCAGAATATTTAAATTTTAACTAAGATGCACTGAAGTGCCAAATTATTGATGACACGTGTCTGCAGCACGATTAGACACTCATTTATTTAGTTTATCAGCAAAAAAATTTTTATTTGGGGGTGACTTGCTCTTTAAGTACAGACAATGTTTGAATCTGCATTCTTTATTTTTTTACACAAAAAACAACTTTACTTAATTTATTATGTCAAATTTCTGCGTTTCACCAATTTTGTGAATGCAATAAACCATTAAGGTTTCCCTCACAACACAAAAGCTACTGTAGTGGAAAAAGGCTCTTTGATAAATAGTGATTTTTCTGTAACTTTTGGTTTTCCACAGAATAAAAGAAAAACGGCTAACCCATAAAGACCACATTATGAGCTAGAGAGTAAGATATGAAAGGAAAGGGTTCTTGTCAACTTAAATTCAGCGCACTCTAGCATATGCATGTGTGTGCAGATGATCAAAGACACCAGTTAATCATACAAAATGCAGCAGAAGGGAGCAAGAAGTCAAGTGAGAGGAGAAGATGATGGGGAGTGTAAACAGGAGAGAGGGAGAAAAAAGGAGACAGAAGAGAACAGACAGGAAAAGGTCTCACTAATTTAAACATTAAAGGCCTCACCGAGCCGACGTTGTTCAACAAGACTTAGCATTGAGCTCAGGGAAGCAATCTATACAATCATTTCTTTCTCAATCTGAGTGAGATGAGCTGCAGCAGTGTTCCACCGAGCAGTGTGTGTTTCTGAACGTGTAGCCTTCATAAAAGGGTGTGTTCCTCTAATCCCGCACACACAAACGCACACTTTCTGTTGTAAACTCAAGGTTTATATTCGTGCATTTGCGTGTGTAACAAACCAACATCGGCCAGCACCTTGCTTTCTGCTCTCCTGTCTCTAGGAATGTGTGAGTGCAGCTGCACATCAGTGTGTGCGCGCGCACATGTGTGCATGTGATATTCAGGTAGAGAGGCACAGTGCAGCCAGGGGGACAGTGTGTGATACTAATTAAGAATAACCATGTGTATTTGTCAAAAGAATTATGCTGATTATCTCACAAAGGCCCCAGAACTGGGCCCCGCAGAGAGACAGAGACACACCAGTATTAGCATATGGCTACACACATGCACACACATGCACAGCAAAAAAATGCACATTCTCTCTCTCTCTCTCTCTCTCTCTCTCTCTCTCTCTCTCTCTCTCTCTCTCTCCCTCTCTCCCTCTCTCACACACACACACACACGCACGCACACACACACTGCAGGATGAAAGTAACAGAAACACAAAAGGAAAAGAACCAGGGTTACGGTCAGGTGAGCAAGCTTTGAGTGGTCCGCTTTAGGAATGTTTAAAGTAGCAAAGTCCTTCATCTTTTCTTCTGAGGTTTAGGTTTACAGTGAACGATGAAACTTGCTCTAATCAGATTCGACTCTGTTCATCTCGATTCAGCTCACTTCTGTTCTCTAGTCTAGTCTATTAGCCCAGGCTGCGTCCTGACCAGCCCTGTGAGAGCAGTAATTGTTTTCAGAGGTTTCCGAGGTGAACCAGTGCCACTCGCTGATCTCACACTCCTCATGCCAAGCTCTAAAGCCAAATTGGTGTGTGTATGTGTGTATGTGTGTGTGTGTGCATATTTATATGTGCATACCTATTTCCTTGCTGCTGGAACAATTGCCCTGTGTCTGTTTACAAATGCCCTGCATGGGTGTCCCTGTTAGTCAGGGTGCGTTGGACAAACCCTGACACATACAGACATTTGTGTAACACACACACACACACACACACACACACACACACACACACACACACACACACACACACACACACACACACACACACACACACACACACACACACACACACACACACACACACACACACACACACACACACACACACACATGAAGACACACCCACTGACACACAGAGTGCCATTAGGCATGCGCTTTGTTTGTGGCCAGCACAGATGTACAGAGAGACTGTAGGGGTTTGGAGCAAGCATGTCCACTTCACACCGGCATCTATGATTGGCTTTGGCGGCTCTAGACCCCAGGAGCAGCTTATTTGGTGTGCATATATCATGCTGCGTGTGTGTGTAACATAGCCAAAGCAATGGGATGGTATTCTTAAAGATACAGAAATCCTCTAAAATAATCTTAGAGAAAAGGTTCTTATTGATTGTCTACTGATACCTTCATGTAATTGAGCATGTATAAAAAAACACACAGAACTGATGACTAGTTTTTAAATAAATGTCACACATTATTTACACAAATAATTTCCCTAAAAGAGCAAAAACGATTAAAGCTAACGAAGCAGAAAGCCGATCAGGTATTAAAATGCCATGTTGGAAATGATCATATTGGGTTTTACTCTTTTTTACCGTATCGGAAACTAAGGGTTAGGCTATAACAGCATATCAGATATCGGTGAAGAGCCGATATCGAGCATCCCTATCAGAGCGCCTGGCAGAAGCTCTTAACCCATCACCTTAAAACCCAGACACAAACAACAGACGTCATTCTGACTGATAATTAAACCACAGACACTGAAATCCCATCCACACTGTGGAAATCTCATCACAAAGGAAGCTTCTAAAAAACGACTGCCCTCTAGCAAAACAAACAGAACACTGTCATACACAAGCACCCCAAACACACTTCCCTCTGGAGTTGAATGAGTCCAGAGATCAGAAACACTTGTCATCTCTCTCTTTTCTACTCCCACTCATTCAGTCTCAGTGTTTCTCTGAAGTGATGCCCATCAGATCAGATGCAGCATTAAACAGCCATTAGAACAAGTGGAGAGCTCTACACTGGATGGTGTGGCCTCTTCACAGACAGAGACACAATAACACACAACCTGTTATTACTGTGAGAAAGAGTGTGTGCGCATGTGTGTGAGGGTGTTTGCATTTGACAGACAACAGAAGGAGAGAGAGAGAGGAACAGGAAGTAGG